TCAGGTCCCCGGGAGGCCTCATTTCTCCTGGGAGGACTTTCTGGCTCTTCAACCTTTGGTCGCACCCCTTTGGAACTTGCCATTACCACTTTTTTTTTTAAAAAAGCAACTTACCATGTTACTATTTCTTTGAAAGGGAAGAGAGGTCTGAATGTCCTGCTGTGAGCACATGAAGGCAGGAGCTGCATCTGTCCCCTGCTGGTCTCTAATATCTGGCACCATGCCAAACATATAGTAGACCCTCAGTTCTACGTTCTCCATAGGTGAGGCCTCTCTCTTTTAGGGTCCATTCTCAGCAGGACGGCTGCAAAGAGGATTCAACCAGTGACCACGTGTTTGTCTAAGCTGACCATTTCTGAGGGTCTGTGATTCTTTTTTCCTATAATTTATCAGGAAGTAAAGAGTTGGAGTTGTAGCCACGCCATGAGTAGAATGAACCAGAGTATGGCCCGATGAGCTCCAGAAACATCATCATTGGGTGATGCCCTTATATTTTTGTTTAAGAGAGAGACAGGCTAAAGTGATGAACTTTCTATTCTGCAAACTCCCTTTCACACACAGGAAGCTTCTCCACAAAGAATTGAGTCTTTATCTGCCTAAATGCCAGCCAGTTTATCCTCAATTGTGTACTAAAAACAGACTGAAAAAACATTTAAGTGAAAGAAGCCATCGCCTTCTTAAGTGGTCCAATCAGAATAAAAATATCTGGCACAGGCAGCATCATATTCTGCACAAATTTCTCTTAAAAAGTTTAGCTGTTCAGGCAACACCTGTGGCTTAAAGGAGTAGGGTGCAAGCCCCATATGCCAGAGGTGGCGGGTTCAAACCCAGCCCCTGCCAAAAAAAAAAAAAGTTTAGCTCTTCTATTTTCCCAGTGATTCTACAGTTGTCCTCATAGATAGAGAAAGGTAAAAGAACCAAAAGGAATGTTTTGTTAGCAAAACACTCTGACAGGGGAATTCAGACACTAATGTACTTAAAACATATGTAACATGTTAGCGAAGGTGAGATGGGAAGGCCTTTGGGAAGGGAAGAGGAAGGCAGGGAGTTAGAGTGGGAAGGAGGAGTCTCTTTTCATGGTTACATCCTGTTCAGATCTGTGGCCATGTTGTTACCTAACACAAATATTCATGGCACATTGAAGCCTTTGTTTAGTTTATGTATATTTTATCTACTCTGTAAGAATTAGGTGTAAATTTCATTGGCCCTCTAACATAAGCCTCGCAGAATGATAATGGTAACTAACATTCACCCTTACTAGGTAAGGAATCTTCTCAGAACCATAACAGCTCATTTGGGCACTTACTAAGTGCCAGGCTTCTGCTAAACATCTTGTACAATACATTAGTTTGATCCTTCAACGTTTTGGAAAGAGATTATTATCCCCACTTCACAGGTGAGAAGATGGAGATTCAGAGGGAGTAGAGGGTAGGCAACCTGCTCCAAGTCCCCCAACAGGAAGGGGAGGGTGCTGCTATTAGGACCCCATGTTGGTTCCACCCTGAGCACCATGTTCTCAGCCCCACACAGCTTGGACAGCAGAAGCAGTCTCAATGTTCGCTTCTGAAGCTCACACTCTTAGAAGCTATTTTGGAAATGGTTGCTAACCCTCTTCTCCAGGTGATGGGAAAGAATCACATTTGTTTTCACGTGGTGGGAAAATCTGTCCCGTGCCAGCCCTGAGGCCTGTTGCTGCTGACCTCATTCTGTTCGATTCCAGACACACACCCTCAAAGGTGAGATCACTCCCTAAATCCACCTGGAATCCTGATTTTTCACTCTTTCTGTGGCATTTCCCTATTTTGCTATCACTCTTCTACAGGTGGAGAGCTTACAGCTTTTCCTTCCCACCTTTCTTGGGGTGGCAGTCCCCTCCCAACTTGGCAGTTTCTTTCTTGCTGCTCATCCACCCCAGACCTTCTGTGGCGGTGGGGCTTACTGGGCAGCACTGTCCTCGTGAGTTTGGCTCGACACAGGGCTGTGCTTCCTAACCACATGCACTCAGGCCTGGCTCACATGAGAAGCCTAAGGGCTGGGCACAGACAGTAGACTCCTGCTCCAAGCACTGTCCAGAAGCCCAACTGTGTATCTTTGTGTCTGGGAAACCTATAGAACCAAGTGCCATTTCCTTACTTGGACTTTTGCTGACTGTGCAAAAACGTTGCTTCTAAAACAGAAGAAATATACCCAGGATTGAGCTGACCCTCCCTTGGTGAGGCCCTGGCACTGAAGCCTCCATGATGTTATATGTCATGCTGCCAGGGTCATTTACTGGCTTCACGAAGGAGCCTTCTCATCAGGGTGGTTTTCATTCCCTGAAGCTGTTTGTTAAAGCCACCTGCTAGTGTCTGGCTGGGGAGAAGGAGGAAGCTTCAGGAAGCTCTTATGATACTGCGTAGCATTGTTAAAAGGGACTCCAAATAATGGGACTGATTCAGAAACCAAGATGGTTGAGGGATGTGTCGGGGGGTGGGGAGGCTAAAAATTAGGGACAGCCCTTGTCTTGGTAGGTCTCCTGGTAGTTTCTGCAGCTGAGGGGGGACACCCACATTGCCCAACAGTGCCCTGGATTGACAGATTTTCTCTGATGCCTTTTCTTTGGCTATGAGGCCTGGCAGTATGAGGCCCTGCTGAACTCATGCCCTCCCACAAGGAACCTCCAGGGAACGTTCTTTCTAAAGCATGCTTGGCCCTGTTTGGTGGGACTTCTCTTCCTTGGAGAAGGACTACAACCTTCTGGATCTAAAGTCATACACATCTGGGTTTGGTGAATCCCGACTTGTCCATTCACCAGCTGTGACTTCTGGCATGTGGTCTAACCTCTCTGAGCCTCAGTTTATCACCTCTATAAAATGGGGTAATGATAATATCCCCATTATATCATAACATTATATAATATTATATAAAATTATGAGATAAGGTTATATTATTTATTTTAAAATGAGTAATTCCATGATAATAACATCACATATAAAACATTATATAACACCATGATAATGCCATCTGTATGTCATGAATGTATGTCGCATATATTACATGTATGTAATGTCATTACATTAACATTGTAATATAACTTAATAACCTATCTTTTAAGGTTATTGTGGGACTTAGATTATGTAGGTAAAGTGTTTAGTCCTTGGCACACCAGGAACTGAATTACTATTAATTATTACAGTAATTAACACTATGTGTGATCTTCTGTGGATTGCAACATGTAAGACAAAGGCACATCTTAAAATATTCTGGTATATGTTGTTGCTTTGGAAGAAGTGAAGCTCACGGATAATTAGGAAAGCAAAGCCCAGTTATAACCCAGGAGGGAAGGAGCAGTATCCAGGGAGAAGCACTGTCGAAATTTTTTTTTTTAAGGCAGAAGTTTCTTTTCTGAAGAACTTAGGCCAACATGTTACTTAATAGAAAAGTATTAAATATAAATAACCACCCACATGTTCTCTGTTTATCTTGAGATGTTACTAGCCTGGGTTTTTACTGCTGTACGTGAGGATGAGGAGGAGGGTGAGGCAGAGGAGGAGGCCTGATGCAAAGGCTGGAGTTTCCATATGTTTGGGAGTTTGTGAATTGGCCCCAGCTCTTGTGCGTCAATCCTGTGTCCAGGTTTGAATGCTATTCTTGGGTCCAGGCTTTGGGAGGGAAAGGGAAGGGTGCCATGTGGACATCTGTGAGAACTTAGCAAAGATAGCACCAGAGTTAGAGCCCTCATCTCATTTTTAGGATACGTAAAGGATATTATTTGCCCTGTTTTCCACATAGGGAAAACAAAACTCAAGAAATGAAGCCTCATACTCAAGTCCACATGCTAATAAACCATCATGAGATTTCAGGTAAGACAACTGAGATTAGAATCCTGATTTCACCTGTGTGATCATAATCAAATCACTTCATCTCCTTAGGCCTCCATGTTCTTATCTATTAAATGGGCATAATGATTCATCATAGCTCACAAGGTGAGAGTCGGGGAGATTAACTATAAACAATATTAGCATATGCTTTTTGATGTGCTCAATACCTGTTAGCTGCTGTTATTATTGCGATGACCTTGTATTTTATTTATCTCTTTTGTGTAGTAGAGCTAGCCAAGACTTTTACTCAGGTCTGATTTACCACAAAGCCTGCCCTGGTAACTACGTGCTTTCTGCCTTGTGTTACTGCTGATTACAGCAGAGAGGTCAAGGCAAAGGTGACCATCATGTAGCCAACATCCTTTTGGTACCTCAGTGACTAAAACCCCAGGAAAAGTCCTACATGGATCCTTTTCAGGAATTATGAAATCCAAATATCCATATTGATGGCTATCTTGCATTTTGGGGGGGAGTAATTTGTCACTCCACAAAAACATTGAAAAAGGCATCCCTGTAGGCATGTTGGGCAGTTACAAAATTTGATTCAATTTACAAGAAAGAAATAAGGTGCTTCTGGTGTGCCTGGAGCCTCTGTGTGCTGTCCTGATCTGACTTGGTGCTACCTCCATTACTTCTAAGGAGACTGATTCACGTTGAGAGATTAATAGGTAAGGAAACTGGCTTTGGCTTATTAGGCAATGGCTACATGTCCTGTTGATCATCCTTTAAAAACCTGGAGTCAAATGTGGCCTTCATGGAGCTGCTGGGACTCCCTGGTGTGTGCGTACAAGGGAGAGTTCTGGGCTGAGCCAAAACTATAAACATCACCAGTGGCGTCCATTTGGGAAATGTTTCAATGTGAAAAATCAAGACAAAGATTGGGAGTCTTGTCTGACTTTTTGACAGTTTCAAAATTGTGTTGTGTTTAAAAGACTCTGGAGCTTTCCTCCTAGGGCCCTGGGCAGGAGTTTGGAGTGAATCTGGCTGCTGTGGATTGCAGAGCTGGAGAAAACCAGCCATCTCGTTTGCCTGGCCATTTCTTGAGGCATCTCTCCTTTTGATAAGCCTGCATTGAAAACCAGTGATTTCCTCTAAACACTCAACCACTGAATAACGAACCCATTGTCTTTTCTTTTCTAGGGCTAAAAGACAGCGGCAAAACAACTTTCCCATGTTTCCCTCTCCTAAAGCCTGGAATTTCAGAGGGGTAAGTGTTTGCCCTGGGTAGCTCCTGCTGTTAAATGTGTTATTCCGGATATATGCTCCTGCCTCAAGAGAGGATACTACTGGGGTTGGCTTTACTAATCCAAATTTCCACTAACAAAGTGTCTGTGCCTTACAACTTGGGGAAGTTACGTTTGCATTGGTGATTGTGGTTCAAGTAAAAACTCCAAGTAGGCCAATAAGCTTCCACGGTCATTTGCCAACCCTGCAGGTCCCAGGCTACAGGAAACATCTTGTGAAAAAGCCAAGAGGTTTTGAGCTTGATGAGGAGGGCACTGGGGCTGTTTTCTTTGGAACTTGGAGGGAAGCAGTATACAATGAAGGAAGAAAGAAATCAGAAATGTGTACTTTGTTACTATGTAGTTTTATGCCTTCACGGGAAGCTTTGTTTTCCAGAAGGAGAAGTCTATAAACTTTTAAACAAATTTTGAAGGGAATCATAAAATTTTATTTATAAAGTAATAGACTTTGTGCTTGGGAGATACAGGAAGGGTCAGATTAAACGTCCTCCTGATATAGTTGTCTTGACATAGTAGCAATAATAATAATATTCATAATGTACGGAGGTCCTACTGTGTGCTAAGATGATTTCCAGTGCTGCCCTTGGGAACAGACCTTTGCATCTGTAGAGATTACTCTGAGCTCTGTTGCACCTGCTAGCCTTTCTTTGCACATGTGGTTCTTTCTGCCCAGAGCACTGTCTCACCTGCCCAGCGCTGCACTCCTACACACACTGCTCCTGGCCCACCCACTTCATCCACTGGGTCTAAACCTTGATATCACCTCCTCTGAGAAGCCATCTGGACCACCCCCCTGAATCTGAGCTTGAGGCCCCTTCTGTGTACCCCTGTACTTTCTTATCCTTGTGCATAGTTAGCACTTACTGAAAAGCCCCAAGCATGAAGTGTGTTGAGACCTGTCGGTGTCTCTTGTTCCTTACTATCCTGGGGCTACCACAACTCCTGGCACAAGCATGTCTAATTACTTTGTTGGACGAATGAATAGAATGAATGAATGAATAAATTTCTCATATTCATCTGACATAAAAGCCACATGTTGCCTTTAGATTGGGTTTCAAATTCAAGTCTTTAGTCTTTTTAATACTGTTCTGACTAGTTCTGTTCACACTTCAAGATCCCGTATAGATCTTGGTTATTTTCCTGAAGTGTCTTATTAAAAATAAATATAGATCATGGCACTATGTTAGCTCAGGTTGCAATATGCTTTTCATTGAGTACAATGAGAAATGTGTTGACTTCTGAAATAGATGTGCATGTCTTACTGAATGCAAGTTATGTACCTCCTAACTTGTTTATAGATGTATGGGTAAGATCTCAAAATGTGCTCAGTTGGATAATTATAACCATTAAGAGAAAAAAGGCTTACTGAACACACCAAATTCAATATCCTCACTGCTGCAAGACTTCTCAGTGCCTTTGATGTGGTGATGTGCATGGAGACAGCGTAAGGACAGTGGATGGAATCTGAGCATTTTCCGAACTCATTGATCATAAAACCCTTTGCTGATGAAGGAGATATTATGCATTTTGGAATAGTTGATAATTATAGTCAGTTTCGAACTATAGAGAAATCAGGTTTCCTGTGAGCAAGTTAGCCTTTTTGAAGGACTTTGTTAACATCCTCCTTCTGACTCAACAGTCCTTAGATTATCCAGAAACTTAGTCCAAGGCTACCTAGAACAATTGATTACCCTTCCTATGGCCATGAGAACCCATCAGCTGTTTTCCCTGGAAAAATATTTTGTGCATATTTCCTTAAAAAAAATTTACAATCCTAGTTTTTAGAATTAGCTACTCAAAGGGACCTTTGAGATATGTACGTTGTTGTAGTGACCTGCTGTTTGCCTATCCTTGGCATAACTCTCTAAGACCAGGGTAACATTTAGCATTTATAATTCCTGGCCTGAGCCAAAGCAAGACTACTATCTTTAAAAATAGCCAGATGTTGTGGTGAGCACTTGTAGTCCCAGGTAAGGGTCTAGGATCCTAGGCAAGAGGATCCCTTAAGCCCAAGAGTTTGAGGTTGCTGTGAACTATGACACTATGGCACCCTACCTAGGGTGTCAAAGTGAGACTCTGTCTCAAAAAAAAAAAATAGAATTAATAATTCATTACAGGAAAAAATGCTGCCCCTGGCTTCTTAAACCAAGTAGGTATCAGAATCTAATGCCATGTTGACTTCAGGTTCCTGTCAACCCTCAAAGTCATAGCCAGCTCACAAGATTTTCCCAAATAGTTAACAATCGTTTGAGTAAATAGAGACTGTTAGTTGGTTAAATCAATTGCGATATTTATCTTGGTCTCCTGTCCTTGCTTTGATTTCTTCTGGGCTTTGGAGCTTACTAGTGAAGTTAGATAAACTGACTTCAACTAGCTGGTTTGGTGTCTGGTCAAATGCCAGATTCCTCTGTGGACAAATTGATCTTTCTCCACCTTGAAGTATAATCCTCAGTGACATGGTGGAGAGGTGGAGGGAACCCAACCAAGTAATAACACTCTTATTCCCAGCCAGCACTCACTTTGTAATCATCATTATGGTAGCTGAACTTGGAGATGGAGAAGGACCCAGAAGCTGATACATTTTCTATAATGAAATTTGACTCCCAGGTCTGTTAGACTGGGCTCTGCATGCTATTCTGGGCAGGGTTCACTTTCAGTGAATACTTTGTTTTCTTCTTTATTTAGAAAGGAAGGTTTCATAGGCTAAATGCTAAGAAATATCCCATATTTATATTTGTGGCAGAGAAAACCATTATAAGCATTCACAATTGTATTCCTCTTTAGCTTTCAAAGAAAAAGAATGCAGTGTTTCTTACCCAGGTTCTAGGCATTTGTAAATTTGAGGTGGTGACACAGTGAGAAATAGTTTGGAAAAGGCAAGAAGGAACCACATTGTTCCAGATGAGGAGTGAAGAGGGAGACATGGGCAAGATCCAGGTGCTGAGGAGTAGACATTTGGGGAAAAGAGAGAGATTTCCAAATAATGACAGTCTAGTTGGGCAAGTTGTATTGCATCGCCTTCCTTGACTTTCCTGGAAACATCCCCTTCATTAGTCCTTAAGTGATTAGGAATCACATTTGTGGTTTTCCTTTTAGAGTGTTTGACTGCAGGGAGGTCAGAAAGGACTGTTGACACTCAGATCACACCTCCTCTTTACTTACCAGGAGGTTAACCCTTTCCTGGGTCATCATCGTTGTTAACTGCAGGGTATGGTCAGCCCTCCGGTTCCCATGGTTGTCTAAGGAGACAGTGCCCCTGGGTGTCACTGAGCCTCTGGGACTTCTCTGTCCTCTCAGGCAAGGGGTGGCACTGTGCCTACCTCTTACCAGACCCAGGGGTGCTGCAGATACACTCATGAAGACACGTTTAGAGGATGGTTTGGGTTGGGGCATTAGGAGAAAACAAGAACAGAATGGGGGGAATCAGATGGCTGAGGGACATAGGATGGGGGATGTCTTGCTCCAGACAGCTCCCCTGTCAGGTACTCACTGCACATCTGGTCCCCATCTGGTTGGGGCAGTGCTGAGCTCATAATTTCCACCCTTCCTTGTGAAAATATTTGCTACAGTTCCTCCTGTTAACCAAGACACAGAAAGAGACAGAGAGACGGTGAGAGTGAGCGAGAGAGAGTGGAACGTGTGGGGAGACCCTGAGACTCAAGGAAGAATCAAAGAGAAAACTCACCTTAGGACTGTAAAAATCTCAGGAGCAAAGCTCCTCCATGGTCTGTACATTAACTAGGAAACATAACCAAATTTTAGAACTTTTATTGTCTTGTCTCCTTCTCTAGTGCCTGGTCTCTACTTTTGTCTAGGCCATTTGTGAAGAAACTTCTAAACTCTGGGACTTAGAAGGTACTTTGGGCATTGTAGACCCAATTTTTAATTTTTAAATGAGGCAATATGCTCAATATGACCCAATTTTTAATTTTTAAATCCCAGTGTATTACTTAGGACTCTGGTTATGTGATAGAAACTCAATTAAAACTAGCTCAAGCAGAAAACGGAATTGATTGCCCTTGTGACTGGGGGAAACGAAGGTGGGTGGGCTTTAGGCACACTTGTATCCAGGGATTCTTTACTCTCTGAGTTTGTCTAATCGTCTCCTATTGAACATGTATTTTTTTGGGAGGAATAGCATAAATAGCCATCCATTTCTTTCTTTCTTTCTTTTTTTTTAATTGTTGGGGATTCACTGAGGGTACAAAGATCCAGGTTACACTAATTGCATTTGTCAGGCAAAGTCCCTCTTATAAATGTGTTCCTCCTCTAAGAGGTCATTCATTTCTAGAGGAAAGTGAGAAGATTTATTTCCAGAGTCCACATATGAAATCCCTGTGTAGGCTCGGCGCCTGTGGCTCAAGTGGCTAAGGCGCCAGCCACGTACACCTGAGGTGGAGGGTTCGAATCTAGCCTGGGCCCACCAAACAACGACAGCTGCAACCAAAAAATAGCCGGGTGTTGTAGTGGGCGCCTATGGTCCCAGCTACTTGGGAGGCTGAGGCAGGAGACTCACTTGAGCCCAGGAGTTGGAGGTTGCTGTGAGCTGTGATATCACAGCACTCTACCCAGGGGGACAGCTTGAGGCTCTGTCTCAAAACAAACAAACGAAATCCCTGTGTAGCACTCTAATTGTCTAGGCTTGGGTCACATAGCTGCATCTTGGCCAATTACTGTGGTCAAGACTATGGGGTTCTACGATTGGACAGACATTGGTCATGCTTCTCCCTCTGTGGCCAGGGAACCAGGTGGGCGGGGTTTTGCAATTGGCAGCTCTGCTAGAGCCACTTAAGATGGGGAAAGGATAGTTACTAAAGGAAGAGTTTGGTGCTGTTGCCAAAAGGGAGTCTGGCTCCCGGATTGTCAGGAAATAACGGAGACTACTCCTGAGGGTGGCTCAAAGTGGAGAGAGATCGGGACCTTGTCTTCAGGTGTCCTACGTCTCCTCCACACTGCCTTGACC